TTAATATTGGAAGAACAAATACCGTCAATATATACAACCTTAACAACATCAACCTAGAGAAGTCGACTTGTGAAAGAGACCTAGGGGTACTTGTAAGCCCGGACCTACGGCCTAGAAAACAGTGCGTTATTGTTCGAAATAAGGCAAACAGAGTATTGGGTTTTATATCTAGAATTGTAAGTAATATGAGTGCAGAGGTCTTATTGCAACTATATCTTGCGCTAGTCAGGCAGCACTTCGATTATGCAGTTCAGTTCTGGTGCCCTTATTATAGAATGGATATCAATTCACTAGAGTCGGTGCAGCGAAGAATGACGAAAATGATTCCGGGACTTAGAAACCTTCATATCAGGATAGTTTAAAGAAACTTAACTTGCACTCCCTAGAAAGACAAAGAGTGCGGGGAGATATGACAGGAGTATTTAAGTGGGTGAAAGGAATCAATAAAGGGGATATAGATAAAGTTATTATAATATCCGAGCAGGATAGGACTCGGAGCAACGGATTTAAGTTGGATAAGTTTAGGTTTAGGAGGGAGATACGAAGAAACTGGTTCACAAATAGGGTGGTGGACGAGTGGAACAAGCTTAGCAACTTTGTAGTAAGTGCTGGAACTCTGGAAAGTTTCAAAAGGAGGCTAGATAGATTCGTGGATGATAGAGAGTGGTAGTAACTCTCGACAGGAGCTGCCATGCACAGGCCAACCGGCCTATTGCAGACTCCTTATTTTCTTATGTTCTTATGTTCTATCACCCAGCCTTACCTCAACGCTGGCCTCGGCGAACACCCTGCCAGGGGGGTGTCGAAACTTTCGATTGTGACTGTACACGTTGGGACCTACTTTAAACTGTGTCCCATCTTTTGTTTTTCGTTATTTTCTAGTTGTTAATATGCCGATAGGTCAAATAAAACTTGCTGCCAACAATTTGTTTGGTTTTTAGGCTATATTTTAGAGCTGTCAAATTCCGCAATATAATGGTACAAAATCAGGGAACGGAAAATAGTAAATGTAGACGACCAAATTGTATTTATATTTCACAGAAGCACTTATTTGAGAGTCTAAAATGATAGTGAGTGTAGATTTTCCACACTTGCTTACCCAATTGGTCATTTTCAATTTTTTTTTCATCTTCAAAGGAAGCATATACCTTATTATGTACGGTCTTGATTTTCGCGTAAGTCAAAGGTTGTGTTTTAATGTACATTCAAGATGCAAATATCAGGTGGTTCATTAATTGAAAACATTCCACTGCCTGAGCCAACTCAAAAGATGAACTCTGAAAATGATCTTCCTGAAATTGATGCTCCCTAACTGTGGACTCTCAAGATGATGTCCCTTTACTATGTGAACCAACCATATCGATGAACTTTAACGACGATGCTTTATCAGTGCTGGAACCTTCCACAACATTGGACTGGGAAGATGATACTCCAACGCTGCTGGAATCAACCAAAATGATGAAATGCAAAGATAATACTCCTCCTGCTAGGACCATCCAGAACGATGAACTCTGCGCGTGTTGCTCCGTCAATGCCCTTCATTGATACGATGTGTTTAGTGAACAAGGTTAAGAAAACCCCAGACATGTCTAACACTCAACAGTTTTCCCAAAAGTTAATAGGCATGGTGGACAGCTTGAGAAACAGTTATAATGGAGTCGGGACGGTGTTTGACCAATACATTCAAACCTTTTTGAAAGAAGTAACTCGAGATAAGAAAACCCTGAAGCAAACTCCTATACATTACCATGTAAGTGATAATACCGATATCAAAGACATAAGAAATTCTTGGCACACATCAGCACCAAAGCTGAACTCACCCAATATCTTTCAGAGAAGGTGGTCAAGCATTAGCAGGGAAAGTTCCACAGACTTCTTGTCATGCACCATACGACAATGATAGCCAACTGTTCCCGATCCGAAATTGTAAGCATGCCGGAGATGACTACTGCCCAGCACGACCTAGAAGAGGGAGACCAGCTTGTTATTCTCAACGCATTTGACGTAAATCACAAAAATCCACAGTCAATTATTCATGTGCTTTCAGTAGACACAGATGTATATGTACATCTTACTGGCCTGTATCCTTAACTACCAAGATCACCACACTGTTAAAGAAAGAACAGTGAGAAAATTAAGATACAAGTCACGTGAGGTTGAGAAATAAGAGCTGATGCATTGATTGCGTGGTACGCCTTTAAGGGAACTGATAACACAGGGTCATTTGCAGGCAAAGGAGTAGCAAGTCAAATGAAAGCCTTTTTGCAAGTTGATGATGATATTCTGGAAACTTTCATCCAGTTTGGGGGGACGAATGATCTGCCTAATTGGGTCCTTCACCAGATGGAGTGATATTTGTGCTCACTCTACGGGATTGAGGACATCAATGCTTCCACTCTACGAGACATCAGATGGAAGTTATTCGCCCAAAAGGGAAAGGAAGGCCAACAACTGCCGCCGACTTTAGGAACACTTATTCCCTACACCCAGAGAGCACAATATATGGCCTTGATTTGGAAGTCCTCAAGAAGACCTTGTCCACAATATCCTTCACTTACAGAATACCACTGGAACATTGCGGACGACCGATTGATGCCAGTCTGCTGCATCAATCCACCTGGTCCTGAAACACTACAAAGCAACATAACTAGTAGTGTGGATGCCTCAAAAATCAGTTACCATGTACAGATATGTGTGGGTGTGGTGATATATGCATGTACACTGCGCAAGAACGATTTTTTATGAAATGGATTAATTTCACATTAACAGTACTGTTTAATGAAAACACAAGTCCATAGCTGGTGTCTTATATTGAATACAACACTTATTTATCTTTATATATTCAATATTTATGTCGCCAGGATCTATATAATGTGTGATTTTTAAAGATTGGACAAACGACGATCTTGCTTGAAGTTGAAGTGCGCATGTACACTTTTGTATGCATTTGTTTTTATTATTGAATGCATTAAAAGATAAATTTGACTGTAATCAAAGCTGGATTATAGGGGTGCTCAGGGGACACTTGACCCGGGCGCCCGACTCAAAGGGGCCCTCTGATGGCGAACAAGAAAGAAAAGTTCGAATTATTTCTTTTGAACACAATGAGATAGACAAGACCACTAGCCCCCCCCCCCCCATTATAAGTGCCCTGGGCCCCCCAAGACCTTAATCAGCCCCTGACTGTAAATCACTTATTCATATTATTTCATTACGTCAGCATGTATTATTTTGCATTTGATGGCATAAGGAGACAATACTGAATTACTTTGTAAAATATATGTCTATTTTCTGGTTCTTAATCATATGCCCATTTAAGGAAGAGGGCAAATGTATGGGTGGCAAAAAAAAATCATTAATTCACATACAGTATAAACACATTATAAACGATGGTGAAGTTAAAGTGAGCGATCATTTCCTTAAAGGCAATTAGTGTGTGATACAATAGACCATTGAGAGATAAATCAAACTACACCCTAAATCAGCCTCACATCAGCCAGCGAACTAAAGTCTGACTGTGAGCCAAAAGGCGATCCAGCTGAAACTGTCCAGAACAAGACCCACTGACACCAGAGATCTTATACAGTAAATGAACTCATAGACTAACCGTAAAGACGCACCTTCCAGCGTTCAGTTTATATTCAATCATTGTACGATACACAATTTACAAATGACCACAGGACATGACTAAGAACATTCATACTCTTTCAGTACTTATAAACTCCTCAACCAAAACCATCAAAATTCTTCTGTCAGCACTTTAGAGCCATGAACTTCAATCTCCTTTTATATATTTCCTTTAAATTCCTCTAGAATCAACTCCTCACTCTCCCAATCCCCTTTCATCCTCTTAATCTTCTGCTTAAGTTCCTTCAAACCCTTTCAGTACCTCCAAATCACTCTTACAGAGCTTCCAAACTACTCTTGCAGCGCCCCCAAACACTTGCAGTGCCTTCAAACTCTTGCAGTACTTCCAAATTACTCTTGCAGCTCCCCCAAACTCTTGCAATACTTCCAAACTACTCTTGCAGCGCCTCCAAATTCTGGCAGCGTCCTCAAACTCTTGCAGCGTCTCCAAACACTTGTAGCTCCACCATACTCGTCTTCCTTGTACTAACGGTTACAGTTCTTCTAAGCCTTTCCATCCATATTGCATATTGCTCCCAAGTGGCGAGATAAGTTCTACCTCTTCACCGTTTATCCAAGATATTATTCCAATAAACTTGGGGCTGAAAAACACTTGTCGATGTATTTTGGTTTCTGTAAAAAAAAAAAAAAAACTAGGGGTCCTTAGTGTAGAGAGACAGACCGGTGACGATATCCTCCAAGTGGCAGCCAATTGATGCTTTTCTCGTCAACATTTCCGAAACATCCGAAAAAATTACTTGGCAGACTTGAAATAAAAGGTAAATATCAACTTAGGAAATTAAACAAACACGAGATTAAGTCTTTCTCGTTTTATGTTAGTTGGTTTCCCGCATCAGAACAAATTAAATATGAAAACCCCCTGAAAGTTATTATTTTATTTCCATCAACAAATATATAGTCCTATTGTTCATTTAACTCTGGGTAATGCCTTATGTTCGGTTGCTGTAGACACGGCGCATCCAGAGAAGTGACAAAGAATTTGTTTATCAGCCGTCAGTACAAATAGTTTTTCCCAGTACTTCTAAAGTCCTTTCCCACCTACTATAAAATCCTTAACCAGCGTTTTAAAACTCGTGTTCCAGTACTTCCTAAATTTTCTTCGATCATCTTTAAAACCCACTTCAACCTCACTCCAACCTCCTCGTTTTTATTTTCCAAGACCTGCAAACTATTTCCTTCCACCCAATGTTATTTTTCACCACTCCCCCCACCTGTTTTAATATGTAACTCCCTGCCACCTGCTTTCGTATATAGCTATCTTTATATATCCTTGCCAACTGTTTCTATAAATAGTGATCTTTATACATCACCAGACATGAGAATGGAACTCTGATTGATTGATTGATTGACAGGAGTGGATGAACGCGCCTATACGACCAGGCATGTCTGTGTTTCATATCGGGAAGCGGAATCCTCCTCACCACAACCAATGGGAGCCCATCTACGTTGGCACCAATAAAGAACCTTTGTATGATGAAAGGCTCTCTTGGGAGGGCAAGAGTGACAAAATGACGCAGGTAAGTAGCATATTGTCAGTAAAGAGAGAGAGAGAACCCAGGACTGGAGAATGACTGTGGCTACACCAGAAATACTAAGTAGGCTATATCTAAGGAAAGACTCCTGTGTTGTCAACCTAATCTACTTTACATCATTGATGCTAATGTAGTTATGAGATATATATTAGCCAGTCTCTTACATGTAGGAAATAATAATAATAATAATAATAATAATAATAATAATAATAATAATAATAATAATAATAATAATAATAATAATAATCATAATAATAATAATCATAAAAATAGTAATAATAGTAGTCTTATTTTAGCTCTGACTGTATAGTGTATATAAACCAGACCTTTCCGTAATTTGTTAATATTGTATCACTTGCGCACAGTAACTTGCGATACTGTGATCCTTTAAGTTGAACGTACAAGATCATTCTACTTTCCATTGCTTTCATTACATGTGAATATATTTTTCTCTCTGCTCTGTCGCTTCCCTCAGATGTTCATCATGTGTTTGAAAAACTATGAGTTTCATATCCTGGACAATGCCTTCCTGGTGCACAAGCCAGGCATCAAGACGAATACCAAGGACGTGTTCAGAAACAAAGTGACGGCCAGACAAAACTCACTACTCAGCAAAGAAATCCGACCCCAGTATAAAAGTGTTTTTGGTTTGAGCAAAAACTGTACTGTGTAAGTAAACGGACCGCTTGTGTTGTTCAACAGTGTGGTCGGTGTGAACAGTGTGAACAAAACTAGATTTTATTCATGGTCAACGCAGTGTGTTATATACGACCAACATTACAACTCTTCAGTTTCTACAAAACCTGTTTTGCACAGTATGAATGAAATAAAGTTGCTGTTGCTTATGTAAAGACAAATTTACAATTTTAATTCGAAGCAAAAACACTTTATTTGAATAAGCGCAAGTGAACCAAATCCATCACCGTTAAAGACTACAAATGTGACTGAGACAGACAACACTGTTTACTGAGAGACGCTCATTGAAGTTGACAAATCAATTTATTTATGGAAAAAATTACACTTTTGTTGTCGTCTTGAAAATATTCTACATAAATAGAACTGAATCATATTGTGTAGAGAAAACTGCCCATTGGGAATATGTCTTTTATATTGATACTATGTATTTCTTAGTGCATTTGAATATTTATATTTATAATTAATTTGACGTGGGTAAAATTTGAGACTTTTTCACAAGATTTAATAGCAATGAAGTTAATTTTCATAATTATTAAATATGCTGGTTTGAATATTGACACCGATAATTTGCTTGGTGTAATATTTTAAAGCGTCTATTACAGTGTTGTATTATGGTTATGTTAGCCTCAACAGTATGGATTACAAAGGGGAAAATTCCTCTCCACACTTGACAAGAGCTGGTGACATAACACTATATAATTTTTTTTTTAGAGAGGAACAAACAATAATATCATATGGTAAAATTATATATAGTATGGTTTTGTCCCATGAAGTATGTATGCGCAAAAATTTGATTTTATTCTCGATGCATAATTGATCTTGAGTTTTTCTTATTAACTTAACAGTATTCTTGGAGGTAGAATACATGTTAAGACATTTTATAGATATAGTACATAAATTGTATTTTTTGTTCAAGGATAAGTGCACCAACAGTGTTTATAACCAAACAACAACAATAACCATCACCAAATCACCACATCACCACAATTACCAGTGAGTCAGCCCTGTATGATCCAGGGGGAGATAAAGTGGTCCCATCGTGGTTCACTATCACAGTATTGTTCTTTTTTTTTAAAGATATTTTAAAGGTATCTTTTCAGGGAGTTTACCGGTGACACAACACTGCTTCTGTGTGTGTGTGTGTGTGTGTATGTGTGTGTGTGTAATAATAATAATAATAATAATAATAATAATAATAATAATAATAATAATAATAATAATAATAATAATAATAATAATAATAATAATAATTAACGGTTTATTAAAAAAGTTCTGCAGCCCGAATGCTGAAAATATACATTGGACATAAATGACTTATTATATACATGAACATTGGTGGTTTAACAAAAGCCTTCATTAGAGAGAGGAAAAGAACATACAGTGAATATACAGATTAATGTTTACAGTGTGTGTGTGTGTATGTGTGTGTGTTTGTGTGATGAAAATAACCAAGAAATCATCGTAGTCGTAGATGGTAAACGTACCACTTCATTTAACTGGCAGAACAACCCTCAGTCTCGGACCAAAGCTGATACCTTCCACGAGAAGAAAGCGGCGGCCCAGCACGAACGCCGCAAATTAATAAGAACATAAAAACATAAGAATGGAGGAAACTGCAGCGGGCCTATTGGCCCATACTGGGCAGTACCGTTTACACCCAACCCCTATTGCTCATATAAGCATCCAACCTATATTTGAAGCTATACAGAGTATTCGAGTTAATGATGATATTTGGTAACTTGGTCCATTCATCCACTACTCTGTTTCCAAACCAGTGTTTACCTATTTCGAGCCTAAATCTAAATTTGTCTAATTTAAAACCATTGTTACGAGTTCGCTCCTGGTTGGATAGTTTGAGTACCTTTGTAATGTCCCCTTTGTTAGCCCTGACTTCCATTTATACACCTCTATCAGGTCGCCCCTCGCTCTACATCTCTAAATGGAGTGCAAATTAAGATGCTTTAACCTGTCTCTATACTCAAGGTTCCTAATGCCCGGGATTAGTCTTGTCATTGTCCTCTGAATTCTTTCCAAGGATTCTATATCCATTCTGTAATACAGTGACCAGAACTGAACTGCGTAATCGAGGTGTGGTCTCACAAGCACAAGATACAGTTTTAGGATGACCTCGCTAGTCTTGTAACTAACACTCCTTTGTATGAACCCAAGTACTTTATTAGCCTTGCTATGAGCAAAAACACATTGTTTACTTGGCTTAAGGTTCCTACTTATCATTACTCCTAAATCTCTCTCGCAGTCAGATTTCTCTATGGCATCGTTGTTCATCTGGTATCTGGTTTCCCTGTTTACAGCTCCTATACTGAGTACTTTACATGTGTCCACGTTGAATTTCATCTGCCATTTTTCAGACCATTCGAAAATTTTTTTTAGATCTTCCTGCAGTTTTGCGGAGTCCTCGTCAGATTTAATAACACGTCCTATTTTAGTGTCATCAGCAAATTTACTTATGTTGCTGTCTCTACCGATATCTATGTCGTTTATGTATATAATAAATAATAATGGTCCAAGTACTGAACCCTGGGGAACTCCACTAGTGAGGTTGCTCCAATGGGACTTAGTGCCGTTAATGCTCACTCGCTGTTTCCTGTCCTGTAACCACACCCTAATCCATTTAAGGATATTACCTTTGATGCCATGTGCTTCTACCTTTCTAATTAGTCTTTCGTGGGGGACTCTGTCGAAGGCTTTGCTAAAGTCGAGATATACCACATCATAATTGTGCCCTTCGTCCACCTATTCGAAAACTGATGAAAAGAATGTTAATAGATTAGTTAGACATGAACGCCCGCTTGTGAAGCCATGTTGGGAATCATTGATCAACTTGTGCTTCTCCAGGTGGTTTCGAATAGAGTTTGAAATGATTGATTTAAGTAATTTGCCTACTATTGATGTTAGGCTGATTGGGCGGTAGTTAGAGGATAGTGATCTATCCCCCTTCTTGAAAATCGGTATTACATTCGCTAACCTCCAGGATTCTGGTACTACACCTGTTTTTAAGGACATGTTAATCAACTTTGCTAAGGGCATACTAAGCTCTTCCTTACATTCCTTTAATACTCTGGTAAATATCTCATCGGGACCAGGTGACTTATTAGGCTTTCGTTTGTCTATTTGCTTACTAACATCGCTAGTAGTCACTACTATCTCGCTTAATTTGTTTTCTTCACTATCTCTGAATAGAGTCAGTGCCTCGGGTATCATGTTTACATTTTCGGTGGTGAAAACCGTTGAGAAATATTTATTCAAATTATTCCTCATTTCTCCGTCGTTGTCAGTTAGCTCGCCGGTATTTGACTGTATTGGCCCAATCTTTTCTCGTGATTTAGTTTGATACATTTGATAGAATCCCTTGGGGCTTGTCTTTGCCTCCCTTGCTATCTTCAGCTCATTATTCCTCGTTGCTTTCCCTATCTCGGTCATAACCCTACCCGCCAATGCCTCATAATAATCCCGGAGGTAAATTTCGCCACGATTTATCCTTCTACCTATAGCCTTCCTTTGGCCAATGATGTTCTTTAAATATTTATTTATCCACTTTGGGTCATTGTTGTCTGATATGAGTTTTTTGTATGGTATGTTCTGTCTTTGTGCATTAAGTATCTCATTATTTAAATTGTCGTGGAACTCGGCTATCTCAGATCTCGGTATCAGGTCGGTGTCATCTGTCAGGTTCACGCCCAAGCGCGACACCCCTTCTCTCAGCTGCCTCTTTAAACAGTCAAAGTTTGCCCTTCTGAAATCTAGTACCTTAGTGGAATTTTCCTTACGTCTGCCCTGAAAATCTAACTGGAATCAAATTTCTTTGTGATCGCTGTTTGCAAGTTCGTTCCCTACCTCGACAATGCTAATGAGGTTTTCTCTGTTCGACAGAACTAAATCGAGTATATTACTACCCCGGGTGGGTTCGGTTATATATTGACTTAGGAAACAGCCCTGGATCGTTTTGAGAAAATCCTCTGATTCTGAGTTACCCGTAAGGTCAGTCCAATCTATTTGGCCAAGGTTAAAGTCGCCTTCAATACAGACTTTGTTGTGTATGGAAGCCCTGCACATATCATCCCAGATAAGTCTCTCATTGACTCTATGAAGATTGGGAGGTCTATATATTACTCCTGTGATTAATTTTTCCCTACCGTCGATTAATTCTATCCAAATTGTTTCTGTATTCCGCTCCGCTTTTATTTCCTTATTTATTTTACACTTCACATTATCCCTGACATAGATTGCTAGTCCGCCTCCTTTCCTGGTCTGCCTATCGGTATGGAACAATTTGTAACCCACAATTTGGTATTCGACCGGTAACTCACGTGAGTCTAGGTTGATCCATGTTTCAGTGAATGCTATTATGTCGTTTTTTCGGTACATACTAAGGCCTAATATCATCCATTTTGTTTCTCACACTTCTACTGTTCGTGTAGTAGACATTTAAGTTAGTCGAGTTCTGAGTCCTCCCTTTACCACATTTAGGTTTAAACTTCCTGTCTGCTTTAGTTTTGTCGTCATTCCTAACACTATTTCCCTGTAATCTTTCACTTTGTTTACCCGCTCCCACTGCAGTCTCCTCCACCCCCGTGCCCTCATGTGCCCCTAGCAGTTTAAAGACTTCGATATATTTTGAACTGCCCCCTCCAGAGACCCAGCCAGGGTTGCCACCCCCTCCCGAAACAGGTGCACCCCATCCCTAGCATAAAGGTCCCTTCTGCCGTAGAAGTTGTCCCAGTTGTCAATGAATGGAACTGATATTGACTTGCAATATCCGTCAAGACGGCCGTTGACACCAACTGCCCTTGACAACCATTCATTACTAACTCTCCTTCTAGGCAGGACACCACATATGATAGGGATCCCTCCCTTAGTCCTAATACCATCTATAGCTGTCTTGAACTTATCAAGAAGCTCTTCACTCCTACACCGGTCAATATCGTTGCCTCCTGCACTGAGGCAGATAATGGGTTTGTTCCCATTACCAGACAAGATATTGTCCATCCTGTTAACTATATCCCCCACCCCAGCTCCTGGCAAACACACCCTCATCCTATTTTTATTTTTACCACAAAAGGCTCTGTCCAATTACCTTACCTGTGAGTCACGAACAATTAAAGTTTTTGTACCTTGTCAGCTCTAATTTCAGGTTTTTTTCCTTGGTATTCTGTAACTCGCACCACAGATGGGCATAACCCCGTTTACAAGTAGCACTAGCCATATGGGAGCGGAGCTGAGCTGAGCTGCCTAGTGAGGTCAGAACACAACTGTGTGAGGTCAGAAGGAATGGTGGAAAAATATAGTGTGTGAAACACAAAAATTTGTCAATTAACACAAGATTTATGGATTTTACAATTCTCCTAAAACAATATTTGGCCCACA